CTCCTCTAACTAACAAAAATGACTTATCACTTAACAACAATCATGTCTTACTCTATTTGTGACCTTTGGTAATTATTATTTTGCGACCTTTTTTTTTTCCCTGCAAAACTCTTATTGAAGTGTTTGGGCTCCACCATTTTTTATAAGGTGTCTTTATGTTTTGGGTTCTGACACAACCCTTCCTCCTCTAGCTTCTTTATTGGGTATTTCTGTTTTTTTCGTAATGTTTAATAAAATGGTAAAAAAAGAAAAAAAAATGTGATTAAAATATTCCCCTATGAAGCTATATGATGTGAATGATGTCAACCATGATGATATGTTAATCTACGAATCTATCTTTCAATCTATCGTCTCTGGTCCAGTTGGCTTCACGATTTTTCACCCCCATTTCTGATCCATACTCCACTCTAGTTTTGTAAATTGTTACTACGCGCCCTTATCCTTCTCTCCATTTTCTTTTTAAAAATAAAAATTGCAAAAAATTAATTAATTTTTTTTTTATTTGTACTCCTTTTAAGAATTCTTTTGATTGGTTAAAGAAGATTTGCTTTTGCTCAGCTGTTGTGGACTTGTGGGTAATAATTTGATAGATGACTTTGAGCACTCACCAAGCTATCCCCCTTCGTCGGCAGAAATACAACCATCATTTAAGGCAACAAGTGGGTTACTTGGTTGCATATAAAAAGTTTTATGTCTACTTTCATATATTCACTTATTTCATAATGAATGACAAAAAAAAAAAAAAAACAGGACTTGTTTGGCCAACATTTTATTTTATCTTTTGTCTTATTTTACCTCTTAAAACACATCTCAAATACAAAACTCAATACTATCCAAATAACTTTTTAATTTACTTTTTAAAATTTATTTAAAATATTATTTTTACACAATTTTTATCCACAACCATTGGACTACCACTGCTGTTACCGTCCACTGCCGAACTGCCCACCGCCGGCGCCAACCGACAGCGGTGCTGGGTGGTCCAGCGGCAGTTGGTGGCGGCGGAGGTGGTCTAGTAATGGTGTAAAAATATTATATTTTATTTAAAATAATACCTAAACAATTTTTAAAATTTTCTCTCAAACCACATTTTAAAAAAATAATCTTGTTTGCTGAATTAAATAAGACAATGAAATAGGATGGGTGTTTGCATGAGATGAAAGTGATTACTTCATTGTTCATAAACTTCAACATTGTTAACTTTTGATTATCATACAACAAAAGAGTGATTATTACAGTTGTGACCAACTAGAGATTTGTTTGACTATCGTATTTATCTTAAAAAATTATCTCACAATTCTTACATTGAAAAATTAAATTAATTAAGGGATGGTACGAATTGTGGTTTTAATTCACAGTTAATTTTGTTTTCATCTTATTAATTTTTTTAAAAAAAACTACTAATTTTCATTTTAATCTTCAACATAAATTGTTGTACATTGCTACCACCACAAAAAATTTTACATTGTTAAAACAATATTTAATCTATTTTAAATGAATAAAACCATGGAAGTCCTAAAATAAAATCAAACGGTTGACTTATAGTATGGTAACTAATCATACATCTTAAAGGGTAAAAATTCTTCAAAAAAAACATGAACAAAAAGATAAGGAAAATGACAAGTTGGGTTGTGGGGTGCAAGGTTGTTTGTGTAAATTTAAGGTTAAGGGGGAGAAGACAACATGGTACTGGAAAAATCTAATAGTGTGGAAAACGCGCGGGGGAAAGTGAGAGTGGGGGGATGGGTTAACGTTAATAAATACGAGGTACAAAGTTCAGAGGGGGGGAGGGGCATTGGTCAGTGGGGGAAGAACAAAAGAGGCAAATGGTGGCCCTCCTCCCGTACTCTTGGATTGGACTTTTCTGGAAAGTTTTTCCTTTTATTGCTATTATTCCCATTTCCTTTTCTGAGACCAAACCCCCTCCTGCCCGTCTGCCGTGGCCCTGACTCACAATAATTCCTCTATGCTACATTCCCAAATTGCCCTCCTGTCTTGTTCCTATTCACTCCCACTCCTTTTTAACTTTTCCCTTATGGTAAAGACAAGGTAAATTACAAAAAGTGAAAGTTAAGATTGTGACCTTCTATATTGTACACATCCGGACGATGGTGGTGGGGGGAAATTTTATGAATTTTCTCTTGTCACATAAGTCATCAATTTTTCTTTTTGTTCGCGTGTTAAATTCCGTGGAAGAAAAATAATGATAGAAATGTATCAAGATCAGGAAGTACATAAAATAAGTTCTGAAATGAACTTCTTGTAATTGGAGCTTCACCAGCTAGTTGGTTTGCTTTATGAAACAAATATAGTAATCAATATGTTTCATTTAACATACCAATCACAGAAACGAAAGTTAACAAAATTGAGGTGGTAAATTTGAAGTGTCAACCCTCATATTGATCTTGAGTTTGTTCAAAAACTAGTTTCATCCTTCTCAAACCAATTGATTATAGGAAACTGCGACATTTTTTTTTTTTTTACTATTATTATCCCGAACTATGGTTTCATTACGACCGCAATTTAAAACCATTCGGCATTGTGTTGTGCCGGTAACCAAAATGTTACCTGTCATTAGGGGTATTTTTGGAATTTTAATGTTTTGAAAATATTTAAAATATTAAATTAAAAATTTCTAGAAATGGCGTCCTTTGTAACTGAAATATCATGTTCATTTTGTAAAAAACGAAAAAGAAAAAAAAAAAAGGACCGTGCTCATTTATTTAAGAGAGTTTTAATAAAATATTGTCACCTTAATTTTTCTTTATATATGTTTCTCACCTTAATTCACCACCTCTATTGCCACTATGATAATAAGTGGAGAAATATTTTTTTGACATTCAAATGAATTTCAAAACATATGCAAAACATAAAATACTATTTAATATGTCTCATATAAATAGTCGACCTTGTAAATTTTAAGGAACATTGTACAATTTGCATTTTTTTTAGACGAATGTAGTAAGACAGACTTCGATGCACATTGGTTACTTCGGTACTCTAGAAGTAAATATAATGCCCATGCCTCTCAATACGTGTGTGTATGTGAATTATGTGTGTGAGGGAGAGAGAAAGGAAGAAAAACCCCCCCAAAAAAAAAAGAAGGAAAAAGAAAAGAAGAGATAATAGTATTCAAAGTGACGTGAGAGTGAAATGTATGAAAACGAAATGATAATTAGTGTTGCTAATAAAGGGAATGGAGTAAGAAGTTATCATTCTAGGCTTGGTGCTGTCTATTTCCATTATTAGTTGGTTAATAATAATAATACTACCTAAGACTTCAGAGAGAAGGAGACTTTTATTAGGAGGAGATGGAACGCTTTTCGATTTGGTTAACGTGGGAGAGTTGCGTAAGAAATAGATGGATAGATTGTTCTTTCTTTCTTTCTTCTGTTTCCCAATGTTTTTTTTTTTCAACTTTGAATTGAATTTATTACAAACAACATTTGAAAAAAACGGGAGAAATAATACTCCCTTCGTTCCATAATTATTACCAGTTTGAGTTTTTATTTCTAGTTCAAATTATACTAAAAATAAAATATTAAATTGGATAATAATTTTGAGACAGAGAGAGTAGTAATATTCCCTAGTATCTAGAGGACCAACCAACAAAGAAAGAAGAGAAGGAAAATACTAATAAATTAATAATTAAAAAGAAAAGAGAAAAAAAAAAAGATAAGGTAGATAGATTTTGAGACCAGTAAAGTAAAGGCAGTGTGTGTAGTACAAGCTGCAGCAAAACAGACGTACTAACATTTAAAGTAAAAGGGAGAGGGTTATATAGGGAAACGAAGCTGACATATATAAATGGAAAGAGTTATAAACTGTCAATCCATTTAAGCTTGTTTGATGCAAAGCACTCAAACATAGAAAAAAAAAAAAAAAACCCCCATAACAAGTTGAGAGCTAACATATATGACTTTTAATTTTTTTTTTTTGAAGAAAGAATAATTTTTCCAAATTAAGATGTGTGCATTTTTTTTTAATTGCAAATGTTCTAAAACAATTAATGAATTGAACTACTCCCTCTGACCTACAATGAGTCCTGTTTAGATTATTATTTTTTTTAGTGCAATTCATTTAAAAAATAAAAATTTAAAGCAGACAATTATTTTAAAACGAAAAATATATATATTTTTTACTAAGATAAAGAGAGTGTCAAATGTCCAATGGCAAAATACATTTTATTTCTTTTGGGCAAACACAAGTCCTAAAACCATGACAAGCTCTCATAAGTTATGGAAGTATATAAATGTTTTCTTTAAAAAAAATCATCAAATTACTCTTAACTACTCCCTCTGTCTCAAAATTATTATATAATTTGAGATTACATTTATAGAATAATTTTAGCTAAAAATAAAAACTCAAATTAGACAATAATTACGCTTCAATTTCTCGTCCATCTCTACTATCCCGTATTTGTAAGTAATTTCGTAGTATTATCAGAAGTTGATTAAAACGAACAGATCCAAAACTTAGTGTAGACTAGTAAAAAGGAGGTATTATTAATTACGGTTTGGAAATTCGAACATAAAAATTGCTAGTGGGATGAAAATAGATAATAGGTGACATTAGAGAGAGTAGAAAGAGAAAAAAAAGGGGGAAAGAAGGGAGAGAGAGAGAGATAATAATAGGAAGAGGAAGAGAAGTGGTGGGGGGTGGCTTTCGGGCTAGTCTTCTCAAACTGGCCTCGTCTATGCCGTATTGGGCAGCCTCTGCTGATTCACAAAATCTAGTGAATATGGTAGTTATTGTTAAGATTAACCCATACCCATCTTAAGAAACCCATAATTCTTTTTTCATTAACAATATTAACCTCATTGTATATATATAAGAGTAAAAATAACCAAACCAATAATAAAAAAAGGAAAGGACCCCCAAAGTAAAAACGTCACATTGACACACTATTTTTTTTTTTTTTGGTCTTTTTTCATTTTAATAATCACCCGATTAAAAAAGAACCCAAAAAAAGAAACTCTTAAAATTTTACGTCTTTCCCATTTCTCCCAATTCCTCCTTAAGTCGTAGGTTTCATTTCATGTTCTTCTTTTGTTTCTATTTTCTTTTTTTTCTCGCTTCCTCATATAAACTTTCCCCCATCAGCCATCAACCACACACTTTTCACACAGTTTCTCTCTTCCTCTATTGGTTTGGTATTATTATTACTATTATTTTTCTTTCCCCCATATATCTGATGAAGCTCTCTCTGAGTTTTTCTCAGTCTATGAACCCGAAATTATGCAGTAATATTATTATTTTCTTTATGTGTTGAGGGTAATTAAAATATAGAACACACGAAAACACGCATAAAAAGACAGCTCAAATAGCTTTTGTAACTACCAACGCCCACCCCCTTCCCCTTCTCTCCGAAATTTTTTTTCCTGCTTCCTTCAGAGGGGACTGGAAGGAAGAAAGAGAGAGAGAGATATATTAGATATTTGGGAGTGTTTTTAGTCAAAATTCTCCAACTTCCATTTTTTGTTTTTTGTTTTTCCTGTTCAGTTTTCTGTTTTTTTTTTGTGGGTTTTTTTGGGAGTTCAGTTCATTTAAGAATGTGGGATCTAAACGATTCACCGGATCAGAGAAGGGACGATGAATCGGAAGGCTGTTCTTCTCACGGCGGCGATGATGACAACAACAAAGGCAAGAGGGTTGGATCGGTGTCGAATTCCAGCTCCTCCGCCGTCGTTTTCGAGGACGGTTCCGAGGAGGAAGTTGGTGGAGCTGCCGCCGAGAGAGGCGGCGGCGGTGGTAGGAAGAGATGCGGGACGACTACTTCTAGTAGCAGAACTCTTTTCGGGTTCCCGGTGGGCCACCGTCGCAATCACAACGACGATAACTGCTCATCGGAGAGCGACCACCAGCAGCACTTACCAGTGGTGACTCACCAGTTTTTTCCGGTGGATGAGGCGGAGGTCATGGGTGGCGGAGCATCGTCGTCGTCAGTTGGTGGCGGGGTGGGTTACGCCGCCGGGGGTGATTTCCCGAGGGCTCATTGGGTAGGGGTGAAATTCTGCCAGTCGGCGGAGCCACTAGGGGGCGGCAACGGCGGAGGAGGCGGCGGCGGCGACGTGTTAGGAAAGGCTAGTATGGATGTGTCTCAGCCTATGAAGAAAAGCCGAAGGGGACCAAGGTCTAGAAGCTCTCAATATCGGGGCGTCACTTTTTATCGGAGGACTGGTCGGTGGGAATCTCATATTTGGTAAAATTTTGCCTTCTATATAATACTAATTATTATTATTATCATCAGCTCTAATGCTTCTTCTTCCTAGCTTAATCCCACCTACAGTGTGTGTACAGATCATCTTCCTTGCCTTTTCTTCTTTTCTCTTTCATTCCAAAAATCAAAAGGAAGTGTCTCTATTCATTTCATGATTCTGATTCTATCATTTCTTGTTTTTCCTTTTCATGATGAAGGGATTGTGGAAAGCAAGTTTATCTAGGTAAAGAGATTAATCAATCCATCAATCTGAATTTTATGCTTCAACCAAGGATTTGGTCAACAAATTAATGGGGTGTTTTTTTTATTTTTTTGGGTTATATTGATTACAGGTGGATTTGACACGGCACATGCGGCAGCTCGGTGAGTTTCATGAAATCCGATATCTATATGTTTTCTTTTTTCTTGTTGTTCCTTCTTCCCAAAAATGTAGAGTTTTCTGTTGAACTTGAAACCGGTATTAATAAGGTAAAAAAAATGTGGTTTGTGGTTGTGGGTTTGTTTGATCAGTGCATATGATAGGGCAGCCATCAAGTTTCGAGGAGTGGAAGCAGACATCAACTTTACCTTAGCAGATTATGAGGATGACATGAAACAGGTAGGTCATGGTCATCTCTTTCCCTCAAAGAGACACAAAAGAATGAATGATATGAGAGACAAGACTTTGATGTGTTATGTATATATAAATACACTCTTTAGATTTTATGGTTTTTCTTTTTCTTTCTCCCCATACTTTAATTTGGGCTGCTATATTCCTTATCATTACCTTATCTTCGATCAGACAGCTGAAATTCTTTTCTAACTCAAATCACAGAAGGTTGATGATTAGTGATGCTTACGTTGTTGTCCGAATTGGTGTTAATAATGTAGATGAGCAATTTAACCAAGGAAGAATTCGTTCATGTACTTCGACGACAAAGTACTGGGTTTCCTAGAGGAAGTTCCAAATATAGGGGCGTCACATTGCACAAATGTGGTAGATGGGAAGCTAGGATGGGCCAATTCTTAGGCAAAAAGTAAGCCAAATTCCTCATTTTTGTTAACTATGTGATCTTATGCAGTACATTTTTCATCAATTTGTTGGTTAAATTCAGACCCCTAAGCTTTTTTCTTTGTTCCTGATTGCGTTTGGTATTAAATTCCCATACAGGTATGTCTACTTGGGCCTGTTTGATACTGAAATTGAAGCTGCCAGGTGTGTGTATTATGTAACCAAGTTTTTTTTCCTGTTTCATTTATGGGTAAAAATTTGTATGTTGCTTCTGAGGGATCAAAAAACCCAACAAGTACTGTACTAAGTATTAATTCTTAATGTAATCAAAATGTACTAACTGGAACTAAACAATTCCTGGTTGTATGTATCTTTTGTGTTTTAGGGCTTATGATAAAGCTGCCATAAAGTGTAATGGAAAGGACGCTGTTACCAACTTTGATCCCAGCATTTACGAAAATGAACTCAACTCTACCGGTAAAAATTATTACACCTATTAATCTTTTTCTTTTCCTCTTCTTTTTTTGCATCATATCTTACCCAATTTTTTTTTCTAATAAATTCATAATTCGATAAAATTGTTCATCCAGAATTATCAAGTAGTAATGGGGGTGATCACAACTTGGATTTGAGCTTGGGAAATTCAGCTTCAAAGTCAAGCAGCAGTCATGTCGGGATGGTGGTTGATAATTCAAGGGACCTCCAGCAACATTCTACATCAATGCAATTTCAACTTGACTGGCGCCATAAAGGATTAAGGCCTAATGTACGTTTCATTAAACGATTTTATTTTTCTTCGTATCATCCAATTATTTTAGACTACTACTGCCAAATTATCGCGAAATTAACCGCAAGATTATTCTCCAGCAAGTGCAACCGGTCGAGCTTGACGTCCAGAAGAGAGACGGCTACAGCGAAGCCGAAACCTTGCAGCTCCTTAGCCAAACGCATCTGCATTCCCCGGGCTCTTTTAAAGCCAAGGAAATGCAAAGATATGGGCAATTGGCTAGACCTACACCCCACATGCTTCAAATGTTTGCTCCGCAGTACAATTCTTCGAATAATTATCACGTAAGCTCTGATTAAGATTCCCGTTAGTTCCGTCTTCTAATCTTATTATTTTGGGACAGAAGGAGTATTAAAACGCTTTTAATAAATTGCAGTATCAGTTTCCAAGCAGCAGCAATGGAGGAATTGGCGTAATTGGAGCCAATGGAGGAGGAGGAGGAGGAGACCTATCGCTTTCGGCAAGTGATCCTCAAAATAACCACTGGCAATCCAACCACCCTCCTCAATTCTATGGAACTGCTGCAGCATCATCACGATTCCCACAGCAGATTGTAAGAACTCAAAATTGGCCACTCAAAAATGGATTTCACCACTCTCTCATGAGACCCTCTTGACCCATTTAATTCTTTCTTTTTTTAATTTCCCAAATCCCAATCAATTGAGTGCTTTCTTCCTTCTGATCATCCACCTCTCAAAGCTCCCCAATTGTTTTGTAAGCTTGTAAAGATCAAAGCTTTGAGCTTCCCCCATTCCACCCCACTATCTAACCAATTAAACCACCACTGTCAATCAGAAGAATTTACTAGTGGATGGCTAATTAAATTAACCTTTGATATAAAATCTAGAAGAAAACAAAAAGGGAATTTTCCTTCCCTGGTTTGCTAGCTATAGCTACTACATGTTCATAAATATTACAAGTAGTCATGACTGAAGACTTCCCCCCCATGTTCTAGATTAATCTAACTACATTATGTTGATATATCAAAAATCAAAAGGGCTTCGTAATTTTCTCATCATCTCATGTATTCGAATTTGCCAATTTCCAGATTAAATTTTGGCTGCGTTTCTTCTATCTTTATTTGTTGACCCTTTAATTTGTTAGTTTTTTTACTTCTCATAATTAATTTCGTTACAAAATGTTGTTTGTTCATCGTTCTGTCGTCTTCTTATTCTTCTTTTCTGAGTTGGGGTGGACCAAAAAATATTCACTCTAGCTAGTAGTGTTCGTTCTCTGGTTTTTCACCTAAGGTAGAGTAGTAGCTAGAAGAGAGATTCAGCTGAAAGAGAGTAAAAAACAAAAAACAATTCAGACGTTTAAAAAAAAAACACACAAAAGGAAATGAAATGAAATGAATTATAGAGGCAGTTTATGGGAAATATCAACCGGATGGTAGTGAATTGTCACCATCGTCGGTGTCCTTCGAATCAGTTGTTTTCTTTCTCTCTTGACTATTAAAGCAGTCAGACAATGGCTATTATTATTGAGAGGGACTTCACCATATAACTTAAGAACTGTATTTTTCTTAAAGCTTCACAGGATTTCTAGGACGAAAAATCTACAGTTGGGTGAGGAATGGGTGATAAAACAAAATAATGTTCCTTTTTTCGTTCCAAAATAATTATCGGGACAAAAGTAATATCAAATTATATCAATTGGCTGACTTTGAACGTTGTTGTTTAATGTTATTCTGATTTTTTCCGAATAATTAAATTAATATTCCTTTGATGGGTACATAGAGCATCGTGAGTCATGAGTTTAAAAGTAACCAAAACACAGATTTGTGAGTTGGTTGACCCCATTTAGATATTCTTGATTATTACATTATTAGTATTATAGATAGTTTAGTTGGGGGGATTAAAAAATTTAGGGCTTGATTTCATCATCTGGGACGTCAGCATCGATTATAAAATGTACGGTTGAAGCATTTGTTTATTGGTTTCAGTTCTCTCTTTTACATTCCCAATTATTTAAATACTTTGTCGGCATTCCAAAACACAGCTAGGGCTGAATCTGATGATATATTGTTTTTTTTTTTTTGTATGTTTGCGAAGATTTTAAGATACGTGATCTGTGGAGCGAAATGGGGCTAGTTCCTTTAATTTTTAAAATATCATGTTCTTCGTAGGGAGGTAGTCACTTCTGAGTTTTTTTTTTTCTTTTTTTCCCATTTTCAAAAGGAAAAAAATATGGAATTGACTGAATCTTTTTTCGTTGTAAATATCACGGAAATGAGATGGTAAATTAAATTTGAGAAAGGTACAAATAAAACTATCCAAATGTGAGGTACATATGGCACTCCCCCTCCACACAACACACGTACAAATACATGCAGCACATATGTATACTGATGTACTTGCCGATTTTTTCCCCGCTAAAATGATCTCATTTTCTCATGTATTTTTGTTGTACCAACCAAAGAAATCATTTCCTTAAAGTTCTATAAGCTCAAATATTAATGTTTTCTATCCTTTTTTATTTTTTAATCGTCCGCTTGGAACGCTTGGTTATCGAATTTTAATTCAACAAATTAATAACGTATTTAAATCACATCTTACACATAATAAACTTGGAATAATTAAAAGTTAAAGACAACACACCACTCAATCAATATTCTCCTATCGATTCAAATTCAGCGGTGATATATATAGTGACTATTGAGGTAGTCCATAGCCACCCACTCTATATAATTCAAGGGGGGCCTGGTGGTCCAATTAACCTCCTGTATATATGAGTAGTACTCATTACAGTATAATATATAGGAGGAATATGCATAATAAATGGCTTTAATTCATGAAATTGTCTTTCACTGCATTGAAATTTTATTTTTTACCTTTCAAAAAGGGTGAAGATCTCCCTGAAATATCAAGGAGCTTCAAAATGTGGACAAATTCTTCTCATTCGCTAGTCTTGTTGTCATTTGATTATCAAAATTTTCAACTCAGATTTCGCATTAATCAAACAAAGTTTAATTTTTTTTTGGCTACCTAAACATGATAGGACGAAAAGTTAGAACAATATGAGTGATGATTGAATTATTAAAATGAGATGGCGTGAATATTAATTTTTGTGGACGCTCAAATTAGCACGCCCCTTAGAGGGAAAAGTATAAAAGAGGAAGGAAATGATACCATTGTTTGCGTTGCAGCCATTGTCTTGCCACTGTAAGCATATAAAGACAACACAGAGACACAGAGTTTGAAGATTGGATAGAGCCACAGTAAAAAGAGTCAGAAGAGAGGACCAGTTTTTTTCCCCCTTAGATTCTTAACCTTTGCATGCGATTCACGAAATCTCCCCCCAAAAAACAAAAAACAAAATAGTACCTCATCGATCACACCCAGGTAGATATATAGATCATACAACACACATCCACCTCTGTTTTTCTTTAAATATCACCAGTAATTACAATTCTATCAAATACCGTCTCAAAATGATTATTCTGTTTCGTCTCAAAATGATGACATATATAAAAACTAGCGTACAAAACGTCGTACTAGATTTCGAGTTAGCAAACAACAGATGCGATTTTCTGTGTGCATGATTTTGGGTCGCAATTTACAAAGTCACATGTAGATGCCCCGGTTTTGGAGTTGGTGGAAATCATAAAACTATATACATTGATCCTGGGATGGTTAGTATAATAGTAATCTATTTATTTTAAATTTGTTCGATGGATACAAGGAGAAGATAGATGGAAATCATTCAAATGAGGCAACATGGTACATTTTGTCGAGATTATTTTACAAACTTTGAGGCTGGTGTTTTCCCAAATTAGAAGATCTCTCTCTCCCTCTTTTGTTTTTTCTAAATAATCATTTAACGGTTGTAAACTGTTTGGATCACATTGAAGTTTGCAAGAACAACAACAAAGAATAAATAAATTACAAGAACTTCAGTTTGCGATTGGCCATGGCGCAAACTTAGGGTTGTCTCAGGACCGCCAAAATCTATCTATTTGCATGCAAAAAAATTAAAAAAATTAAAAAAAAATGCACGTTTTCCTAGTAGTACTGCTACAGTAATGCAACTCCACACGTAAGGACATCCCCCTAGAGATTTATATTAAATTTGTGTTATAAATAAATAAAATCACCATTTTTGTTACCATTAACACAAAGAAACATATACCAAAAGACACCAACCATGAAAGGCTTTTTTCTAGTACTCGTATCTTTATTTTGCGTCCTTCAAACCACAATATTCCGAGTCCAGGCTTTTGGAGAAGACTATAAGGTTATTATAAAAAATAACATAGCAGATCCCAATACCTGGCCAATCACGGTTCATTGTAAATCCAGCGACGATGATTTGGGACTGAAAACCCTTCATTCCTATCAAGAGTTTCAATTCAGCTTCAAGATGAATTTTTGGGACACGACCAAATTCGAGTGCCAATTTGGTTGGATTACATCTTATGCGGTTTTCCATGTATTTACCGCTCGCATAGCTCATCGTTATTGTGGCGAAACGTTTAGCAATATGTGTTTTTGGTCAGTCAAGGAAGACGGATTTTACATTCAATCTCCCGATGATTTACATTTCATGAGCGGTTGGCAGCATAACTAATCGATGCACAGAATGTGTATTTTTTTTTTTGGGGATGGGGGCTTTTTTTTTTTTGTAAGTACTGGTCTTTTTTTTTTTTTTTGTGAAATAGAAGACTTTTGGAAAATCATTTCTAAGTAATTTTCTTGCAATTTTTTAGTATATTACGCACTGGATATGTCTGAACTTATTGCTCTGAGTAAACGGAATTAGAGCTGGATAAGTTCTTTTATTGTAATTATTTACTAGTGTTGTACCCGTGCGTTGCACGGTGGAGCTTTGATCTTTATCTTCGGGAAAAAAAAAAAACAGGAGAAGCAAAATCGACGAGCCTCATTCCATCTTTATTTTCATCTTTAACAGCAAGTCACACTGCATCGTTCTTATTAAAAAGGTTCTGAGTCTTTTATGGTTTACAAACATGCAATAGTTTAGCTATTATTTTAGTATTTTGGCAACTCGTTAAATAATAAAAAAAAACCAACAGATCTTATTCCATCTTTTTTTTTTTCAATCTTTAATAGCAAGTCACACTGTATCGCCTTGATTAAAATTTCTGAGTCTTTAGTTGTTTAAAAACTTGCAATGCTCGTAGCTGCTATTTCAGTATTTTGAAAGGCCGTTGAACCCAAAAACAATTTTAAAAAATTTAAAATAAAAATTAGAAGGTCTCATTCCATCTTTATTTTTATCTATGTCACACTGCATTGTCCAACGTAAAAATTCCGATTATTTAATAGGTTAAAAATGTGCAAAAGTGTTAGTTATTATTTTAGTATTTTCGATAGCCCATTGAACCAAAAAAAAAAAATGAATTGGTAAAATCTCATTGCATTTTTATTTTCCGTTGAATACAAAAAAAAAAAAGAAAAAATCTTTATTTTTCATTTTTAATAGCACGTCACACAGTATCGTCCTGATTGAAAATTTTTTAGTCATTAGTAGTCAAAAACTTGCAATGATTTTAGTTGCTCTTAATATTTTGACAGCCCATTAAACCCACCCCCCAAAAAAATAGCAGGTCTCATTTTATATTCATTTACTTATTATAATTTCTTTAAATGCATAAAATTTCTAAAATGATTATCCATATATCTTTTAAGTTATAATTTCCTCTATGGACTGGATCTTTTAGTCAACCTTTCATTTAATGTATGATTCACGACGCCATTTAGGGGAATGTTCCAAAAAACCACCCAGGTGACCAATATCATCATAGTGATAAGATGATTGAATGCAGTCATGATCATAAGCATCTTAAACACACTGAGAAATGATAACTTTGGTAGGATCATTATATATTGCAAAATGGCATCAACGTCATCATGTCTAAAATTCTTTTTCAATCTTGGACTATTCAAAAGAAACTCTTTATCGTCATTCATTTCTTCCTCTATATCATAGTCAAAAGTTGCTAATCTCTTAAGTTCCTCTGTATCATAGTCAAAAGTTACTAATCCATTAAGTTGTCCTGAAATCATGTTATCAAACAGTATCAATTAATTGAGTACATATAAATTAAGGGTGATGATACTGCCAGGACAATAATTAGCTTCCAGGGCAAAATATGTATTGTATTTCCCATATTACCCTTAT